GATGAAAACCAGCCTCCAAACCTCATGAGAAGAATATTCTAATTAACATATGTAAACTAAATATTATATATTTTGTGAGGATAGATTATTTCTAATAAGCAGAGAGTAGCTGAACTATGAAGCAGAGAGCTTGCCTTCTTTAATTAGACTGAAGTCTGAAGATTCTCGGCATCAATATCTCAAGAAAAATAATTAGAAATTTGTAATTTCCTGTTTTTATTAACTTCCAGCAGCAATTATTTCCAGCCTCATCTCATCCTGCTTTATGAGTAACTGCCTTTAGCACTGCTGGAACTGAAGAATGAGCATGACACTCAACTCCAGCTGAGTTTCTTTTTCTTTGAAAAAACTGGGTGCAAACCCACAGTGTAGGAATGAGTAAATTCAGTTAGAATACCAAGATTTCATTAACGAATCTACAATTTACACTTCAAATTTTCTATGGTCCATAACTGATCTATTTGCTGAGATTTTCTGTGATGCACAGGAAGTTAAGAGAAAGATGGCTCCCCTTGAAAGGATAGGAAAGTTTATGTGTAATAAAACTATCTACAAGTCTCAATATGAATTAACACTATTGCAACTTTTCAAGCACAACCTCCGTAAAACACCATCTCAGGGCACAGTCATTTCACCAAATTTTCAGGAAATGAAAGCCTCTAACAGATTTCTCTGGCATAAGCCACATCTGCAGAACACTGTTGTAACAAAGGCAGAAAAAAAAAAAATCTATCTCCTGCTACTAAGAGCAGTGCAGATTTGGAGATACTTGCCATGCAAAGCCATCTGCCTTATGTGGACTTTCCATCAGAAGTGACTGACATCTATCACTACATTGGCCCAGCTGAAACCTTGTTATGTCAAGGAGCAGTTTTGATGAACCTGCGGAAATTCCTAGTTTAGGATTTCAGAATTTTAAAAGTGTTTATGAAATGCCTATCATGACAAGGAAAGGCAGTCACAGATCTGTCTTGCAGTGGCAAAAGAGCTGAAGGAAAAAAACAAAAGGCAACCAAGATGAAAGGCCAGATAGTTCTTTTTGCATGCTGGGGACGAAGGGGGTACAGTCAGTGTTAACTCATCCAACGAAGAAGAGAGAGGATGAAAAAGTACATTAATAGTACTTTATAGCTTACTGGGTTCGGCTGCCATTCTTCCCTTTCTGTATCCTACTATTATGTTAAATCAGAGGAAGGAAAAAATAAAATTAAGAAAAAAAATGTCAAGACCCAGGAGCCATCAACTTCAGCACTTCGTATGTTTAAACGTAACTAAAAAACAAAGGGTCACCACGAAAATCCTACTTCAATTTCTGACTTTGTACAGATCCCAAATAATATTTTATCATAGCCTTCAGAAACAATATAAGCCAACAGACCACGACACACAGTTTTCTGGAGAAATTCACACTGGTATGGATTGGCAAATACAGACTGTACCAAGCAAAGATTCCAAGTCAACCATTAGTCTATGAAGAAGCAGAGAAACACCAAACAATCCAGAGGAAAAAATATGGACCTTGAAACTTTTGAAAGATAGGTGGGAGGAAAACACACCTTGTGCTAGTATTCCTCACAGTTTGGGATATCCAAGAGCATGTCTCTAGAAAAGATAACTGTGCAAACTGCAAAAGGTAAAATATTAATTCTGCTACCTCTTTTGGCTATCTCCCCTTACTACTACAATGATATTAAACATGCATTCTACTTTCTCCTCCTGCCCTAGTACTACAATCAACACTTACACAGTATTTAAAGTGTTACAGCTGAAACGAAAAACAAACAAAATCCAAAGAAAATCCAACACATACACCCCCCAAAGAAACTATGAAATACCACTATAAGAACAACTAGCAACAGTATACTGAAAACTTAAATACATTAGACTGGAGAGGAAAAAAAAAAACCAACCCTCATTACTTCCCCCCAAATTATTGTTCTTTTACTCACTAAATAGACAGACCCCCTTTTACAATATATAGTTATTTTTCACATGACTTTCAGCAAGGCTGTTTAATGATAATTATGCCAGAAACATGCAAGCATTTATTACCCTTGAATTAGTCACAAGTATGTTGTATCTAATATACTTTGTAGTCAGGCTGAATTTTGCAAGCCTAACTGTGGCAAGGTTTGCACACACCGAGTCAGACTTATCTGAATCCCTACTTACTCTGAAAACTTTTCTCAAGGATTGTTCCTATTATTCTATCCCTTGAATGACCAACTCCAAAGTGCCTGTCAGGAGCAGGAAAGCATGGTTCTGTTTAGCTTCAGGGAAATAACTGAGAAAACAACACATGGAACCATAGCAAATGCAAGTACCATCAGGGTGCAGGAGGAAAATGTTTTGTTACTCATTACTTATTTGCCAGCATATATGTTATTAAACGAGTTACGAAATCTGTCATCAAACTATAAAACACCACTGCAGTAGGCAACTTCTGATTCAAAACCTAATTTGTTAAGAGCTACAGTAAAAAATAAAAAACTGCTGTCAACACCAAATACTGCAGGACTAAGGGCCAACAGCCTACCTAAACCCAGGCTGCTTTGAGAAAGGAAGGAAAGTAAATCCTACACAGAGAACAACTATGCATATTCAAACCTTCTACTCTGGGAGATAAAGATTAAAGAGCTTTTCTACCAAGTTTTATAATATTAATACATAATGTAATAATGGCCAGTCTTCGCGAACGAAGATTTGGGGAAAGGTCTTTTACCTTTCCAGTCTGCGCAATGGATTTTTTAGGTGAGACACAGCCTGCGCTGAACTGAGCCCACCCTTTAATCCTAAGGTTCATCTGCCGGGGCCAAGCAAGCTTGGACAATGGCAGTGAGGTCCTCAGGACGTAGGTTTGTTTAGAGTGACCTTCTCATAGATGGATGGCCACACAGGGCTAACGGGCTCCATCTGCCCGGGGGACTGGCTGGATTCGAACCTGGGTTGCAGAGGTGAGAGTCCTGCACGCTAACCACTAGGCCACCAGGGGTCCCCTATTAATACATGATACAAATACAAATTGCAAGAACAGGATCATCTGTTTTCCACTGCCAACATGTGTTGCACAACAAACATCAGGAAAGCTGGAAAGAAGGTTCTGTATTATATGTTCAAGGAAATTGCAGCACAGGGAGGACACTATGTTCTTCCTTGCCCTGTAGACTAAGGATCTCCTAAGTACCCCAATCCAGAAGTTACTGCTCTTGGACATCTGGAGGGGGGAAAAAATTAAATCACATTCTGATTTTTTATTAGAAAACCAAATGGCATAGTTTTGATATATAAATCAAGTTTTTACGTTGGTTGGTTGTTTTCTCTGCTTCTAAATAGAACCTTTTTTAAACCATGTAATTTTTATAGACACATACTTCTTTTTTTACACCTGAGCACTGTGTAAATTCTGTACACATTGCCCAGCCCATTCCACAGCACTTCATAACCAACCACCATACACCACTCACCTCGTTTTAACTTTCCCATTTTCAACTGCAATGAAAACATGCAGTCAGACGCTGACTGATGATGTATTTTTACCATTAAAAACATATCATGTATGAAATGCTGCATCAATGAACTTCTAAAAGCCTTTTTTAAGTAGCTATTAAACTTCCATTAGTATTTTCTATTAATACTGTTGTTTCACATTGTGAGGAGCTTTTAGATACGTACACATAAACCCATGTGTAGGTACATCTGAACTTCAGAAATACGTTTCTAATGTGCAATACAACTGATTTTGTCACAGGAACTCTGTTTTCAGTAAAACTTCAGAGGCTAAAACACCAGCAGCTGCAACTGTCAGGGTGTGGGGGTGGAGGGCAAAACTCTGTGTATTTGGCTGTTAATTATGTCTTTTGGTAACTAATTACACTAATTGCAGATACATTTTTCCCAAGAAACTTTGAAGTAAAATGTAATGGCAGCTTAATTTAAGAGCTTCCAAACTGAGACATTTTTGCAGTGAATGCTCTTAAGTTTAGAACTCTGCAGATGATGACCTGTATCTTGATGATCTATTTTCAACTACTGACAATTTCATTACAACAACAACAACAAAAAAATCTAGCTTCTTTTCTCAGTATCTCTCAACTGTTTTTCTCATTGTCCCAAATCGGCTAAAGTTCTGTTACACTAAACAATATGGAAACGCCCATCTTAAAAAAAAAAAAAAAAAAAAAAAGGCTTCTTAGATTCCTCCCTGGCAAATGAAGTAGATGCTTATTATTTGCATTTCAAATTTATTCTTAACAACACTGAGCAACAATAAAGTTCAAGTAGGTAGAGCAAGCCTAAGTCACAAAATGGAAAGAAACTACTATTTTTTCATATTGTTTAAACTATCCAGAAGTACCGAAGTTTTCAACAGGGTTGTTTTTCTTCATCCACTGCCTTTTACGTCTAGTCTTTCTATATACCTGCAGCAGAACCCTGAACTTTTCCTTTTCTTAAACAGGTCCTTCTACTCATGCACCTGAACTCCCATTTTCAGTCTCTCAAGTTCTGAATATTCACCCATTTTAAGACCAGACAGAATAAGTTTTTGTCATTTATTTCATATCCATTTTGAAGGTCTGAGCCACCACACTTCCTACAAACTCCCTATAATTTGTCATGGCACAGTATGGTAAACGTGTATTCAAAAAAGTATTTTTCAGTAATGTGTAATAACTGTAAAAGGTGTTTGAATACAACAAAAAGCAATAGGGAAACAGTATGGTAGAAAAAAAGAGTACAATAACACAGCCCTTTCCAGACTCTTAAAGCCCTTCACTACACACAGTAATCCTGTGTTGTGAGCCATTAAAAGACAGATTGAAAAAGGCATCAAAAATAAATCCTATGCTAGAAGGCCACAAGGACACGAAGAGGTTTTAAGAGGAAGAAGTGTTCTTTAACACTATGACCCCCCACCCCCAAAAAAAAAAATAATCCAAGATCATCTAGAAGTTGCATATTAAGATGGTCAGTTTTCTCCTTTCATGTCTGGACACTTCCATCACCATCCATCTGCCTCATGTATTTTCTCTCAGACATAGACACAAAGCGGGATATTTACAGACCAAGACACTCTGGAGAGTCAGTGGACAAAACATGTAGAAAAAAAGGGAATCATTAAACTCCTTTTCTGGTTATTTTACCTACATTTCCTGATTTTTTTTTTCCAGAGAAATATTTTAAAAAATTGAAAAAGACTGATAAGAGACTATTCAAACATGTCAAGATGTGCCATGGTAGCTGCCCCATGGTGAGGTCCCCCTCCATCTCACAACTAGTGCTGACTATCCCTAAACCCCCTTTTTCCCAACAAACCTATGCAGTTTGATCCTGTCCCTTTCAGTACTTTTTAGCGTTGATGAACATTAAATAAGTGAAGAACAAAAATGCAGTTGTGGGCATATGCACAGCTGTCGAGGCATTCTTCTGGAGACAAATTTGATATATACACACAAACACATTGTAAGGTGTAGAGACCTAAAACAGTTCTGAACACACTGATCCACCAGAAGAGATGAACGCCTCTAATTCAGCCAAACTAATTTTGCTTTGTACATCAATGGACTAGGTCGGCCACAATACCTCTGTTGAAGAGGGCTGCCACTTCATAATATTAATTTATTGTGGGTTTTAGGTCATCTGACTATATCCTTTAAAGGTTGCAGAATAAAGAGTATTAACATTAAGAAGGAACATCATATTACAAACAAGACAGATGGCTAACAAACCTTCAGATAAGTTCTGGATGTCAAATAATCTCATAGATAATTATCTCTTCTGGAGGACAAACTGCTCCAAATATTTAAACTAAAAAACAAAGACTTCCTTGGCCCAAAACAATGCACAAGTTCACTGAGCTTACAGCTGCACACAAATAAGGGGAGAAAGTGTTTAAGCACTGGAAGGACATTAGAAAAAAAAGTTTCCATAAGGAGACTTTTTTTTTAATCATGAATGTCAACACTAGTTGCCTGGAAAGTTTGTAGAGCCTCTAAACTAAGTGAACGCTTTCCAAGACAGCCATGGCTTTGCTCATATGGCAAAGGTAGAAGACACCATCAGAGAACAATTCAATCACTGCTCCACCATTCTCATCAGGCAGGTAAAAGCTCTCCCACTCTTGCTCAACATACTGAGAGTTATAATATTTACCTGCCAGATTTCCTATTATGTGGCCTCATCAGTACAATGAAAGTCCAACCCAACTGCTTTGCTATAAACCATAAGTTTGTAGTACATTAGCATCTCAAAGACCTTGGTCCATTTTCACTCTGCTGAGTACTCCATGCTTCTAAAAATCCCAGACATTGTGACATTAGGATAGAAAGACAAACCATAGCACTGGAACATGTTGCCCAGAGAAGTTGTGGCTGTCCCATCCTTGGAAGTGTTCAAGGCCAGGCCAGACAGAGCTCTGAGAAACCTGGTCTAGTGAAAGGTGTCCCCACCCATGGCAGAGGGGTGGAACTAGGCAGATGATCTTTAAGGTCCCTTCCAACCCAAACCATTCTATGATTCTATGATTTTCAACCGCACACATGTAAAACTACAGAGCTTTACAGAGCTACATACACTGCTACATAAACGTGGATATTTTCTACACTGCTGTTGCTATGTTGCCAAAGAATCCATATCAAAATATATTTTGCCAGTTAGAAACCTTTTATGAAGAAATAATATTTCAGTTAAGTCAAAACATCCTCAGCACAGTAATTTAAAGCTTTGATTCGAAGTACTAAAATATAACTTGGTAAAGTGTTCTGCAGTAATAGAAACTCCCTCCTTCTCTTAGATTTGCATAACATATACATTATCTCATTCCTTCCCAAGTGTCAGATTCAGTTTCATTTCATCATCTTCCTGGTCCAGAGGTTTGAGAGGGAAAACCCCACCACTACCAGGCATTTTGACTCGGTTAGGTTGTAAAACATCCTAGGGTACTTCTACACACTTGACCAGGCAAGTGAAACACCACCAAGTCTTTACAAAAACACTGTGTTTATTTAAAAACAAACAGATAAAGAGGCTAGCAACTGGTGATGTATTTATAACCAAAAAAAGCTATTTTAGAGCTGTAACAACCTTTTTACGATATTGAATGCTGATGAATAACTGAAAGAAACATCCTTTCCAATTTAATTATATCTACAGAAAAAAAATCCAAAGAGGGTAATCTCAAAGGCAATTTGCATAAGTTTCAAACAAGAGGACTCAAGCTGCTTCCCTCCTCACCTTTCCAAATTAAAGACTTTCCCAAAAGGTAATGAGGTATTTGTGTTTACCTGGAAGGCGAGTATGAAGAAGTAAAAAAACTGCTGCCTGACTGTGGAATCTCATTTACACTGCTCAAACTTGATTATAACAGAAATAAAAGCTTTGGTTAGAGAGGTACAGGAGATTTATCCCTTACTGCTAGAGCTGAGAAAGAAAGCAAAAAACTCCAAGACATCCAACAGACCTCTTTTAAGAGAATTAGGATTTCAAAATGAAGTTCTAACAGTGGTAACGTGCATGTTGAGCTCTCCTGGGGCTCAGAAAGGATGAAGAAAGAACTGTACCAAGCTATGCTCCCTTTGATTTTTTCATATTATTAAGTATTTAAAAAACAAAAAAATAACTAAATCAAGAAGTGCTACTGTACCACTTCATGGTTTCAAGGATCTTTGCAACTGTAAACTGAAGTATGCTAAAACACATGCTGGCTGAACACACTATAAAACTCACCTGCTAGACAAGAGTGCTCCAGCTAGAAAGTCAGAGTAATAATACATGCAACCTCCTACACTTTCACTCTAAATTACAGTCAATTTGCTAAAAGCGAAGCCACACGCAATCACTCTCCCTTACAAACTATGTTCTCAAACTAATGAATCTACAGGCTGCACTAAGATGGTTATATAACATGAACAAATCGAATTTATTTTCCTGACCCTATTTTCTGTCAGTCTTTGTAACCATCACCTCAGTTTCAGTTTCCTTCATCAAGTCATCCTGTCACAGTTTCACCTGTTCTGAACTCACCAATCTGACACACCTATAAATTACTCAATTGTTCCACTATTATTAATTTGCTGTAGCACCTGGAGAAGCAGCCAAGTTAGTCACTTCACACACTTACAGTGGGGGGAAAAAAAACCCCAAACTTACCCTGAAGAGCTCGTGGACACGGTTGCAAGCAAGACTAGAGCAGAAGAAACCAAGACAAGTAGGCATGTTGAGTTTGTTTTTACAATAGCAGCGTATTGACCATTCAGAGTTTTGGGGTTATGTGAACTTTGTTCACATCTCTGTCCCCACTGGTTTGCGTATGGCCACCCCTTCTCCTAACTGATAATCTGGGATGAGATGATTTAAGAACTCTGTCCTCAAAAACTTGCTTGAAGCTGATGGAGTCAAATCAGAACCAGCTGCTGCCATCTTGACATACTCCACCCAATTCATGAGTTAAACAATTCACGTCTTCCAAAAGTAGGCAGGGAGGTTTAAAAGACATTGCTGCTCATATTCTTTTACCTGCTGCTTCTTTCAGACATCACTGCTATAAAGCAGAAGTAGTATAACTATTTCCTATGAACTCATTTGAATTTAAATACTATCAAAAACTGCTGGTGAAAATAAAGGAATATATAGTGAACTACAGTTTCCAATGTTTGATCTGAATTACTTTACCTTGTATTAACACTTAGGAGGTCAATTCAGTACCAAAAGTCCTTAATTTCATTAATCACATTTATCCCATGTTTTTCTTTACTGAAGTTGCAAATGATGCAGTCACACTCATTACTGTGCACTGACACTTTCATAGGACAGTCACCTTCTTCCCCAGCCCAAAGCAACAAAAGCATCTCGATGCCAAAGAACCACCCGAGTGCTTCAGAAACATGTGACCCCCCCAAAAGGTCTTTGGGCAGCAAAGAAAACACACAAGCCCATGGCTTCTATGCCTGGACAAGTGGATGTTGTTCAAATCCTGTGAAACCAAAGGCTTGCAGCCAGCACAGCTAGAAGGCAGGCTACCCAGAAACACACATTACACCTGGAAGAGCCCTGTCACTGTACAGTAGCTGGATGACAATATTTTTTTCCCTTAGATGTCAGAGCATATGCCACCACTGATGACTAACAAGTAAGGAACACAAAGAAATTTTGGTGCATCAGTCAAACTATGGTTGAAAAACTATGAAGCTTGACATCAAATCAGGCTGCTATCTTTGAAGTGTAGTACTTAACAGTCAGTGAATTATTTCATGTCAGTATTGTGTGCATTTCTGACACTGGCACAAGATGAGAAACAGGCCAGAGACTGAACTGTGATGGAATGAATCTTTACTTCCAGTTGATAGACAATAGACACTAGTAGCAGATGGATGCACTGCACTATCCACAGTGATATTCTGGGAAAAATATTACAGTACTTGGAATGACCAGTTATAAGCAGAAATCAACAAGTAAACAAAACTGAGACATAACCATAGAGATAACCTCCCTTAACAGACATCTCTCTTATTTTCAAGTATAGAAAAATATTTTCAGAAAAAAAATATTCTACTTTATATCTTAGACTCTCAAAGGACTTACAGGAGGTTCTGTCTTTGGTAGAGGAAAGTTCAAGACCTCTGTCAAACAGCAAGAGCTATGCATCTGTGCCTACAGACACTAGACAATTTAAAAAAAAAAAACAAACAAAAAGAACCAACCTTAAATACTTAGAGGAGGAAGAGTCAGAGCCACTTAATTCTGCTCCTGTCTTTTCACATTTCCTGCATAATTTAAACCTGGACAACTGCAGTGCTTCAGGGAGCACTGGTCAATGCCAACAATTTAGCACCAATCCAGCATTAACCATCACTTCTACAAACAAGAGGTTTTTATTGACTATCTAGCGTCCTTACCCTGAAGAGAGCCTCTCTGAAGTGTCTAAGTGTTCCTAGAGGAAAACCTTGCATGCAAAACATCCACAGACTGATGATACCATCCTTTCACAGTCACTCCACACTGCACATTCACCTTCTCCAC